GAAAGTGCAGGATTTGCTCTTTCTGAAGAAGCACCGAACCGTTTTTCAAAATCCATTTTCCGAGAAAATCACACGTTCGAACATTTTGTTCCCATAGGTTTTTGAGCAGCACATGCGAGTTTTTGACATTCAAACATTCATAACTTTCTTCATAATCAACTTTTTGCAGATGTCTAAGGCTAATTAGAAACTAGAAGATTAGAGCTTCCGAATAAGTGCTAAAGCTTTTTGAAATAATGTTGTGTTGGTCGTTCGAAAGAAAAAGTAGGAACTTAGAGAAACACAATCACGAAAAATGCGCGGGCGCTGGTGTCGTCGTGCATGGCGTCATTATGCGGATTGAGTCTAAGAGTACGGGAGAAACTCGCTCGGTGAAAATGGAGTTGGAGGAGACACATTCAATCGTGCTCTGCACCCCTAATGCTGAGGGCTGGAGCGCAGCAACGAAACAAGAGTCGAATTGTTAGTAAAACGATTGCTAGTATGATGGAAAATTTTTGTGTCTCAAGAACAAGCTCAGAAGGACGAAGGATCTCCTTTACCCGAGGCTTATGTCAGCCTCGAACTCTCAGCGAGGTTGCACCAATATGGTGCTGCCAGCGTAGGCAAGCGCGCGAAAATGAGTGGCCCCGATTGTAATTTTACCATCCTTCATGAAATACTTGTACGTAAAGGTTGCATTTAAATCCTCTCCTTAAACTAACCATATTTTGAGTAACAGGTGGCGCCATCATACCGGGAGCCATCAGTACAGGCATCATTTGACCGTTTGACGCTGCAACATGAGAATTCTGGAAAAAGGAAAACACAAAGTCGGAGAGTACGGTTATTGCCTTACCACTCATTTGCATAGGCATCATAAAAACCATTTGCTGCTGTGGTTCATAGATGTTTCCATTAGACCTCAAGGTCTCGTGGGTTCTCGCTGAGCGTTGAGAGTTCGGTGTACAATGAGCTGATGGAACGAACTCCCTCATCGTGCCAACGTCTGATGGATAGGAATCGACTGAATTTTCCTGAAATTGAATGTAATCAAAAAATTTCCTTTCAAACGTTCACAAGTTGTTTTAGTTGATGTTAGCTTGTTATAACAAGGTGCAAAGCGCTTTTCTGGCCGTGTGCAACAGGTGGGGGTGTGGCAAGCGTTTCTCATTGGTTGGAAGATAAGCGATAGCCATCAGGAGACTTATTATTAGCGTCACCAAGCGCCTACACTGTAGAATTTGATAATAGGGGCACAAACCTGGTGATGACGGTAGTTTGGTATAGTGCCTTCGCGGGGTGGAATATAACGAGGAAGACTGCGAGATCTTACATTATGACGTGGTAGCGACCTCGTCGCCTTTAATTCCGAATTTTCAAAGTAGTCAGTAGCCGTTAAACACCGGAGTTCATTCTGTTTGACTCACCAGGGTATCTCTGTCGACATAGTTGTACTGATCTGAATCCGTGCCACTGTTCTGATATAGACCAGAGTGATTTTGCTGGTATGTTGGGCCAGCTCTTTGGTAAGTCTGCAAGAAAGAACATTTGTTACAGAATGGAACAGTCTAATAACTACGTGAAGGAACGATAAGCGCTTACAAGGAGAAGGCTCGCTTAGTGTTTTGTCACTGAACGCGAAATAATTTCACATCGATATAATTCCTAGAGATTCATCTCATTCCGAGATGAGGATAGGGCTATATTCATAGTTATACCATAGGGCATTTTGCGCTTGAAAATGAGCAACAAGGGCGTCAAGGCTTTGTCATACCCGCCGCTACCTGCCGCTCCCCTTGCTCCAACGGTCTATACAACGAGACGTCTGCGACTCTTTGTCCAATGTGCTATCTCGCGTTCTCTCTCCTCTGCTCCAAGTGTCTCTTCGCCTTAACATGGTTTATCGCATAAGAAATGGTAGGTTATAAGCCCAGTGTTTTCAACGGTTCCTTTCCCTCCCCCTTTTTTTCGCATGCGGTCTACACTTCAGTGCTTTGAGATGCAAGCGAAATAACCACTTCTCGTTATCGCGAAGTGTGCAAAATGGCGGTTCCGCCCAGAGAATCCTTACTTTGTAAATGTCAGAAATAAATGGTAAATGTGATCAGGAGAAGTAAACACAGCAGCTACAATTGTGATTCGTAAATTTTACACGTATCAAAGATTGAAAAAGCAAATGGTTTCTGCATAAAAGTCACAATTGCTGCTCAAATATTAAAATACAACAAGCTCTAAGGTACGGGAATGAAAAAAGCGCGAGAATATAAACCCACTGGTTCGTAATCAGAAGGCCCATATGCCCCGCCTTTGATGCATGCGGCAATTTCATGTGCAGACATCTCAGCTGCCATTTCGTGAGGTGATAGTACCTGAATCAACCGCATTTTTCTTTTTCTGTAATTCAAGACTTCTTAGATAGCGTCTACCCAGCAAATTCACCTGATCAAAAACCTCGTCTAAGAATCGATCGACATCTCGACTACTGTTTGGTACCGGCATGTTACGTATCCGGGACGCAACCGACATCGTCGAGTAGACGCTCGGCACATAATCGCTACGACTGGCATTCGCTCGTGAGTCGCATTCACCACCTCTTGTAGCGACGCTTGAGTATGAGCGGTAGGAGTCAAACTCGGGACGGTTCACTGATTTACCAGTATCGTAATCCCGACTGCGATCTTCGCTGCCGGTGTTGCTGTGACTCTGAGTGCTCTGTTCACGACGGTGTGATATCGGCGTGATCACATGGTCGTCTTCTATCCTGTGGGAAGCTGAAAGAACTCTAGTAACACGGCATGAATAAGAGCAAGGTGCGCCCTTAATGATCGTAAAGGTACAAATGGAGGTTAAAATGTTGCAATCGGAAGATAATGAATGAATGA